TTTGAGTGAATCGGCGGATATCAATTCGGATTTATCAAAAACACATTTTCGCCAATCCCTAGAAAGCAGCCTCTGCAGTCGGATGCCAAACCGACAATAAATGTTCTTGTGTGCAATTAATCTCATAGCTCATGAAAAGCGGTTCAGAATCTCGACAAAGGTCATAAATCTGAAACAGTGACATCAAACAATCGTGCAAAAACTCACATTCAGAGCTCAATCCTCATATCACCGTATGCCACAATTTAAATGTCAGTTACTCATGATTCACGTATCTAACAAGGTTGTTGTGACCTTTCCTTGCAAGAGATGTTCAATTGCAATTGAGCGTTCATCCTTCCCATGAACTGTGCCTTATTTCTATAACGTCAGAACCACATTAACAAAGTTTAACTGAATCTATTTTTGTAAATTGATGCTGTGTTGATGATTCAATGTACAATGCATCTCGTAATCCCAGTCTTATCCAACACAATCCTACCGAATTCCGACGACCGATTAAATCGCGTATTTCATGGCACTTGAGCCATAAGCCAGTGTTTTACCGATCTCAGCTAATTGCTATTATGATCTACCTACCTTAAAATAAGCTGAATACTAAGACTAAGCCAGAAGTTCGGATAAAGCGTTGAAGATGTGTGGTTAGTAGTTGTAAAGACCAGAGCTTCAACGACCTCGGGCCTAGATGATCTAATAAAATCGCGTCGAACATTTCGTTCGCACAAGCGATTTATCAACGTAAGTGCTCGTGAATGTGTGTGTGTGTGCAAAGCGATTAAGTAACGAGAGCATACGAGAGGCAGCTATCGAGTTGGTTCGTGCAACAGCAGCAGCAATTTGCTAAGCAATGTGCTATAACGCCAAATAAGCTAATAGTGCCTGAGGGTGCAGATGCAAGTGTGTTCATTGATGTGTTTGTGTGTATGTGTGTATAGATATATTGAATATCAGCTGCGTAACACATGAAATATGACTTGCTGCTGGTGTAAACAAATGCTGAAAAGAAACAAATTCGATGTGAAAGGAGCATTGCGTTTGAGGAGTGTAAGTCGCAGCGTTACACAATAGATCATAGTGGATAAGATGCAAGCATCCTATCCTATCTTATCCATCCATCTGTCAATCTATGTTCAGTAAGCTGCAGCCGCGCATGACAACGCGTCTCGGAGTGCGTTCAACGGCGCGATGCGATGATTATCCTGCACAGCAACCGTAAGGAGGACGTGAACAACCGGCACGTTAACGGCGACCGATCGTGTGACCATTAAGGACGAGCAAGGCGATAGGGCGACGACCGACGACGGTACGACGACAACAGACCACAACAAAAACGGCGGCCACAATGACGACCCGTGCTGCGACCTGTGCGTACTTCTGCAATTACTATTCTTGGCTCTTGTGAAGGCGGAGTCTAGCGCCTTCGAGCCACAATATTTTCGAGCCTTAACAAACTCCCAACCGCGCCCCCTTTTAACTATCTTCTTTTTTTTCATCGCCTCCCTCCCCTCCACGATAAAATGTTGATAAACCCTTTCATTGTAATCTGTAAAGCGGTACCCAATCAGCGAATACCCATAGCAGATGGCTTACCTACTCAAATACTATACATGTTTGTTTGTTCACTTGCTTTCATTCGCCATCTCAATTGACCGTAAACAGTTTTTGTATCATCATTCATATGCACACACATTCATTTCA